CCTTGAGCCTCTACAGGAAAGGCAGGATATACAAGCAATACAAAAATAAATAAGGGAAATCATTGAAGCAAAGTTTAAATTTGGTTTTCATGTTCTCCTGCCATTAAGAGCCAAACCAGCTCTTATCTCCATAATTTTCCTCTGAGTTTTCTTTCTAAGATGTGAAAAGGGTGAAGCTAGAGTTTAGATTAAGCACATCTTTGCATCATGTTTCTTAAAACAATACAAGTGGCTGTTTCTGGGAAGAATCATAGTAGATTCTAATGAGAAAAAATGAGAAGTTTAACTATTTTTTTCCATATTACTTCTGATGAGACTCACTCTCTCAAAGTTAATGTTGAAAGGAAAATATCCATTGTTATCAAAGAGGAATTCCTCACAATCCAAATTGCAAATTCAAAAGAACTGCTTTTCACAACATCATGAAAGATAAATACTATTTCCTATTTCTGAGATTCTGCTACTAGCATTACTGACCTGTGTCTGCTATTTCTGAATTTTAAAAAGAACTATGCACAGTGAACACAAATGAAGTATTATTTACTGTCACTTAATGACCCAATAATAACTTTTTGGGATGAGGCTGTGAATCGATACAGTATCTGGACTTGGCAGTTGAAGATGGTTAGGTCTGATTAGTAGATCTTCAGAGAATACGAAGCCTGGCCTGGGAAGACAAGACAATCTCAAAGTAATTTTATATTGTTGCCAAGGAAATTCCATGGATATGTTCTTTAAATCACCAGGAGGAGCAAGTTCAGCTCAAAGAGAACTTTTATGTCATTTTTGATGGATAAACTACAAAGGGTTCTGCTGCATATTCAACAGGCATCTCTTATTCTAAAAGGCTGGGATAGGATCCAAAATTAAACTCAGCATATAAGGAAAAAATAACCTTTAAAGGTGCAAAGTGTAAATGTGCAGATATAAATAACTTACACAATTTGAAAGTGAATTCCATAGTTGCCCTGTGATTTGTGAAGTCTGAAAGTTAAGGACAAATTTATGCAACTCTTTTACCAATCATGTTACACAGATTATGCCTTTGTAAAGGTTTGTTGGGGGGGGTTGTGTCTTTGAGTCAGTCTTGATTCTTGGCGATTATATGAACGAGTCTCTGCAGTTTTTTTGCCAATATTTTTAGAAGGGGCTTGCCATTTACTCCTTACTGAGAAAGGAATAGCACCAAACCACCCAGTTAGCACCCATACTCAAGGCAAGAATAAAATTCACATCTCCACTTCTAGTCCAGTGTAGTTGTTAAAGGTGTTGTGCTGTTAAACTGGAAGATTATGAGTTCTAGTTCTGACTTAGGCATGAAGCCAAGAGACTTCATAGTCTCTCTTTCTCAGCTCTAAGAAGAAAGTAACAGCAAACTACACTCAAGAATGTTGCCAAGAAAACTGCATGGATTTGAATCAAGCCTGGTTCAAAGTGACAATTTTACATGTAAAAATAGAGATATATTAGGTTACCTTTCACTGAAGTTGTCATATCTTCCAACTTTAATATAGCAGATTCAGTGTCTTAGCTTTGGCATTAGGAAGCCTAACTTAAAACTCACTACAGATAGTCCTTGATTTATAGCAATTCATTTAGCAACCATTCAATGGCACTGAAAAAAATGACTTATTTTTCACACTTGTTTTTCACACTTATGACCACTGCAGCATTTCCATGGTCACATGATCACAATTTGGACACTTGACAACTGGCATGTATTTATGACAGTTGCAGTGTCCTGGAGTCATGTGATCACCTTTTGTGACTTTCTGACAAGCAAAGTCAATGAGGAAGCCAGATTCACTTAACAACCATATTACTAACTTAACAACTACAGTGATTCATTTATCAGCTGTGGCAAGAAAGGTCGTAAAACGGGGCAAATAAGTGTCTTGCTAAGCAATGGAAATTTGGGAGTCAATTGTGGTCCTAAGTCGTGGATTACCTGTAAGACAACTTACAAATATAGGAATCTTTTTATATGAAGTCAGATCATTGATTTCTCTAGTTAGCAGATATCAGTGTTAGGTAGCAATAATTATGCATGATTTCAGACAAAAGTCTTTTCTAGCCCTACCTCGAAACTCCAGGAAAATCCTCTTTCAAGGCCTGGAATTATCAGGAGAAAGCATGCTAAAGACAAAGCAATGGACAAATGGAAGAAGACTGGACATTTCTAAAAACAAAACAAATTTAACACAAAAGCCATTGTCTCTCTGCCAATCAGTCCAGGGTCCCTCAGCTATAGTTCTTGAGTTCCTGAAGTTCCTGAGCTCTTACGTCTATAACTCCCAGCAGCTCTAAATGGACTGACAAGTCATGAAGGTTCCTATCCTGCTAGAGACAATACATTCAGCTATAGCCTGTTGTCTAATTGTTAAAATAAGATTCAATTGATTTCAGCTTGACTAGTGGCCAGGTACGTTTATAACTATTCAGAGCTTAAAAGGAAAAAATATCAAGTCAATTTCTCCTAGCAAGCCAGCCTCTTTCTGTAATGCATGGGTGTCAAACTCGCCGCATCATGTGACATGTCACGATGTATCACGACTTTTTCGCATTGCCAGAGCAGGGGGTGGGCACGGCCTCCAACTGATGCAACTGGTCCATGGACTGGCAGTTTGACACCCCTGCTGTAATGACTCTTTAATAATGTGGTCATCTGCTTAGCTAAGTGCAGGCTACTCATTCTCTGAACAGTTTCCGGAAGGCCTCTACATGCCTGTGCACTTTTACAAGAACATTCCAAACACTGTGGAAATAAAAATACTGTGTTCTTGTGACCTCAGACAAGTTCATATTCATTTTATTCTTTACTAGCAAAAAATAATTTCAGAAACAAAGCATGCATAATTATTTATACATCTTTTTTTTTCCTTAGGAACACCTAAACATCAGAAGTCGCAGGCCTGTTTAAAGGCTATGAAACCAATAAAATCAGTTCTAGGTAAGCCAAAAGCATGCAACTTCCTTGTTTAGTTTTGTACTATTCTGTCTGCAATGCAAAACTAAGAATGTGTAGAGAAAAGCAGATTTGCATGGGTAAAAACCTATAGAATCTTCATTTTAAAATCACAATACCATCCCACCGGAACAACAGCCTAACCAAAACAACGTGTGAACAATATGTGGGACATTTTATCTTGTATGGTGGATGTGCAAAAAAGCCCAAAAAATTTGGATACAAATAAATACACTAATTCAGAAGAGTTTTAAGCACAAATTTACAATAGAAACCAAAAACTTTTCTTTTGAGATTAAAGGAGAAACAACTAGAAAAAAAGTCATGAAACTTCATTTTATATAACTGCAGTGTGATACTATACACTCAAAGAGTAGAAAAGTTTAACACTATCCATAATAAACACTATCCGCTATACATTTCACTACAATAGGTAAAGATGATGAAACTTGCAGAGATGGCTAAATTGACTTCCTTGATTAGAGAAAAGACAATATATGCATTTAAGGCTGACTGAAAACCCTTTTAAACTTTTTTGCAATGAAACAGGGAAAAAAATAACATGAGTTGCGATTTTAATAATTAGAAAAAATGGATAATAGAGAACAGTGGACTTTTTTAATTATACAGTAAGAGGTAACTGCAATCATACTTATATTTTCTGCAAAAAAAAAATCAGAAACTTTCTTTTTATTTTTATTTTCTTTGTACACATGTCTTTTTTCTTTTCTTTTCTTTTTCTTTGTTTTCTTTATTCTGGATTAGTTTGTGCTAATTTTTATATTCTTTTAATAGATATATGTGTTTGTGCGCACGCGTACATATACACATATTGAACAACAGACTAGGGAGAAGAGCAGGATTATGCAAATTAACCTTGTTTTATATTTGTAGGACTGAATTATCCCTTTCTTCAGAAATATATTGTACTCCCATTGAACAACTGTTCTCCCACTGTTCCATATAGATTCTGGAAAACACAAACTAAATGCATCTGTATTAAACTACTTTAAAATTCAACCAAGTCTTATCCTCTTATACAGTCCTGATATTCTTCTGCCTATACAGATATTTACCAAAGAAATAGCTAAGCAGTACTAAGCTATGAGGAGTAGCTTCTGTAAAATTTCAAACAGTGCTGAGCAATCTGATATGAGGTACGGCCCCTCAACATTTTTTCTGCTCTCAACAAGCCTCTCGGAAACCTTAACTCCCCAAATCAGTGGCAATTTCCACCATTGTGAGGTAGGAAATGCTCAGAAACTGCCATATTTCTTAAAGTAGGCTCAACATGGTTATAAGAACCAAAAGAAAAACCTCTCCGACACATGAAATCCAAAGGGAAAAAAGGTAGTAACTGACCTCCCCACATATGTGATGTCTTCATCCCTTATTATGCATCATTGCTTTTTATTGAAATTCTCTCTACCCTTTGAAAATATTATGTGTATCCTTTAGCTACCATACTTTCAAAGCTAAAGATTAGGCAACTATCATCATGCTGACACCATTCTCATTGCAAAAATATGCAAGTTCAAATAAGCGTTCTAAAAGTTTTTTAAAAATGTCTTATTTTTGGTCTGCAAAATGTGAAAGTACCTATTCCTTAAGTGTCCGTGCCAATCCACAGATCTGAGAATTATCAGTAGAAAGTCAATGAATTATTTAATGCAAGCAAAGATGGGATTAGGAGATGACTTAAAGTACAGTATCTGATTTCTCAGACTGGAGAATCATAACAGCCTTTTATATGGAACATCTGACACAACACAGACTAAACATTATCATTCAAAACAACAGATCTGCAGAGGGCACTCCACAATCCAAGGTTCCAACTAAACCCATTATAAACTGGGATCAACTGGATTCTGAGGTTTAGAATCAAGAGGATCCTTAAAGTCTGTTATGGCCTCATGCAGTGCTAGGCTCTTACATTTTTCATTATGTCAAGAAATCTATCTCTCATTTTTAGAGAAAAGAGGTGGGACAAGGAAAGGCTATCTCTGCAGATGAATGAACGTAAAACATGCTGTACCTGCAATGTTCTCTTGCTTGGGGCAAATTCCTTTTGTAGGCGTGAGAACACGGTCTTCTTCATCGGGTGTGACTTGGATCCCGATTTCCACTGGCTCTGACACTTTCCTGAGCTCGGAGCGTGATGGAGGGGGAGGACTGTTCTTATCCACGTTCTTTTCATAGCAGGCACCACCAGCACCATGGCACTGTTTCTTCTTGTGCTCTATAAAAACCAAGATGTCTCCCAGGGGAAAGTTCATCTGACACTGTCCACAGGTTAATAGGTCAGGGTCTGTTCCACCCACCGCAATGCTGAGCCCAACTGGCTCTCCTAGTGCTAGGCTCTCTTCCTCATGGGTGATGATGGCAGTGTCCACGTGGTCAGCCTCTGCTTCATTCGGAAACCCAAAAAAGGTGAGGATCAAGGAGAAAGGGAAAAAGAAAAAAAGAAGGGAAAATAATTGAGAGCAATTGGTTTACATATTCATATAATTGTATTTTTTTTATCTATTTCCCACCCTGCTTGTCTCCACAAATGATCTGAGTACATTTTGCAATCAAGTCTGTCTGCAAAACAAAATAATAAGCATATTTAATGAGGCTTTTCTGAATCAACCATCAAAGTCCATAGCAGATTAATAACAGGGGAGAGTAAAGACCTGTTAGTTACCTCCAGAACTGGTAGGATGCATTGAACAGAGCCACAGATTTACATCAAGTTCTAACAGCTGATCTATGGTCCAGTTAAGTAACTCTAACCAATAATCTTTTTTCTTTATAAAGCAAGAAATAATACTGAACTATGACTAAGGAAGCCCACCATTTTTAAAAAAATGATATTGAAAATATTTTATATTACTAATTTTTCTGATATTTTTCAACTATTTGTTGATCATATAGTGTGTAATTTTCTCAAAAAAGTTATAAGTTTAAACTTGTTCTACTGTGATATTCTTGGAATTTTACCATATTTCTAGCTTCTTGTGACCCACTCACAGACTCACCCTCCAAAACATTTTTTAACTGGTCCCATTCCATGGCCACCATTCCAAGGACTATTGGAAGCAATGAATATGCAATACTTTGGACTTACAAATATAGTGAAGAGGCTGATTAACCTAACAAGGTAGCATTAGCCATGTCAAATAACCATGAAAAGCTTTGGCAACAAGCAGGCGCCTGTTCAAAATGAATTTGAATGGAAACAGTGCTCAGTGCATCACAGAGAAATTAATTATGTCACAGGATTTATTAAAAATATAGGGAGAAATCATGCTTACAGAAAGCAGGTTTTCTGGCACCACACGCATCTTATATAAATGTGTTTGATCTAACTGTGGTTTTATGCATCATCTTTCCAGGATGACCACAGGAGGAGGAGCTGTTTTGCTTCTGATTCCTGGCACCGTAAGCCTGTCTTTCCCAAGAGGGAAGCCATTCCAGGGACAGGATTTTTCAATCACTATTGTACCAGAAAAGTGACAGCAATGATGCCTGAGGGAGATTTATACAAATTTGCCAAAACCAGTTTAGAGAACAAGTTTCTGTGGTACCTGATGTCTGCAATCTCTTGGAAGGCAGCATAAGGCAGTCACAGTTTCTTGGGCTTGTCTTGAGCAGGAAGACTGTCTCTTTCAACCCTACCTACAAAACAAGCCTGAGGTCTACAAGCAGTAGAAAGCGACATGTCCATTTGCCTTAAGAGAAAAGGCAGGGAATTGATCCCACACCCAAAACACACCAATCATGCTTTGTTCCATCCCCTACATTTCTTAAATGGTCGGCTGGGGGGAACAGTACCCCAACTTGCCAGGCCACACAATCACCTTAATGTGACATGGCTCAGGGTAAAATGAAAATATACCCATCCCACACCTGCAATCTCTGGCTGATTTTTTTTAATGCTCCTTTTGAGAATGCACACTGAGCTTATAGACTGGTTTATGGATGGATCATGGGGTTTGTCCAGAATGAATGGCTCCCTGGATTCAGTCTCTCAAATGACACCCATGCAAACAGGCTTTCACGCAGTTAAGGTTTTCTAAAAATGACTTTAATTTTCTCCAGAAAACCCTCACAGCTAAACTATGCTTTCAATTGAGTAGGTTTAGTAGGCTACTTGAATCTTTTTCAACTCTTAACAGTCCTGCTCAGCAGGAGACCTTAATATCAAGCATTTGTTATTTTAAGTTCCCAATTCTGTAATGTCACGAACCCTCTTTTTCTCCCTTTCAGTTTCTTTTACAAAATTGTTGTACTTTCAGATCTGAGCAACTTTAAGGTTTTTTATTTTTATTTTATTTCAGTTAACCAGTAGGCAACATTGAGATTTTAAAGAACCAAAAGACAAATCGAAGAAAACATCTCAGTTCAAATTGTTTTGGTTAGATTATAATGCTATTAGCTGAAAGAAAATGAAATTTGTTCAGAACATATCTCAACTTCAGCCCATTAATATTATCTTAAAATGCTGAAAATTAAATGAGAGTCAATTTTCCAATTCAATTCACATCATGGTCCGCACTGTTCAAATTTTATTTATATAAATAATCTTCAGAATGCTCAACATTTTGATAGTTATTTTTAATTGTTATTATCTATTAGATGCCAACACTATTATGTGTGACATCCTCTGATTACTTAATATAACTAGAATTTTGGGACAATCTTAATGTAGCTAATTCATGATATTAGTAAGGAACAATAAACTTTTGTTCCGTTTTGTTTTTATTTCCAAGGCAGGCTAACTGCAAAACCACACGAAATGTGGTCCCCAATCAGGAACAGTTCCCAATGACCGGCAGGGTTTTGCTCTAAACAAGAATTTTATCATTTGGCCTGATCAACGCACAGTGAATTAATGACATGTAAATAAAAGAGATGAGCCACTGAAGTTTTATCAAGAGAAGGGAATAGTGAAACTTCGCAGGGGAAAAAAACAAACACATGGAAATACTGGCATTGGTGATTTGTTTCCAAATTTCCTGGAGATCTAAAAGCAGCAGGACAATGTAAAACATTTGTCATACTTCTGAATTGCAATCCCTGAACCAAATGGGAAATTTGCCTAAGCATTTTTAAAACTGCTATTTATTTTTATTTGGATTTTTTTTTGTTTTCTAATAATAAAAGGGAAGCTATCTAATCAGGAGGCTTAATTAGATAAATTTTAATTAGATAAAAGGCAACTAACTTCTGTTTTGAAAAAAAATATTGCTAATTAGTACATGAGTGTAGTCAAATGCATTTTTGTCATTTAAACATAGGAGGTATGTACATAAGAAAATAACTGAATGCATCAGAACTTGGGCTTTGTTGGACTCATAGAACTTCAGATTAAGCCCACGCTAACTGCTTTCTCTTTACAATTAATGGAGGTGGATGAACAAGAAGTCAGCCTAAGGAATAGGAGATGCATGCATGAAAGCTTCTGAGTTTCCTGTACTTACTTGTAGCCAAATTAATCCACTAGGTAACTCAAACACTAGGCATAATGCATGGTGTGTGAAACCCATTAATTACTTTCCCTCCATCCTTTCCTCAAAGTTTACTTTAAAAGCGGCTAGTAGACAATGCAACGTAATTAATTTACCAATTTATTTTATGAAAGAACTCTTTTGCCATCGTGAAAATGTAATCATAACCCTAGTGCTGAGCGGGAAGTGAGTAGATTTCTGTGCGAACAGTTTGTCACAATGCAAAAGGTAATTATTTAGTGCTTCTGTTCCCTTTAATGATCTAACATTGAGCAATACTGTTTATATTGAGGAGAGCTTGCACCTTTAATTACCAATTACATATACATAATTTTAGAGCCAAAAGGGAAAGGAAAAACCGAGGGCTGTGAAAAGACTCCTTTAGACAATGTATACATCCTTTCTCAAAAAGAATTCCTATTAGGTGGGAGCAGAGTGTCAAAATATTAAAACACACGCACACACAAAGGAAGATAAGGTAAAGGGATTGGAAGAGCCAGAAATGAACCTAGGCACAAATAAGGAGCATAATGAGTGGAAGTCGGAAAATAGATAAAATTCAAAAAATGTGTCTTGGCATTTCCTTAACACTGTGGCTGAAATTACAATAGGCTATGCATGTGTTTTAATATGGAATCAGAGGGGAGTTTTCAAGCTTCTTAACGTTATGGTGTAGGAGATGCTGCTTATTCAAAAAAAAAAAAATTAAAAAGGAACGCAAACAAGAGGGGAGTAGAAAAATTCAAAGTAACCAACCTTCCAGACCTCATACTGGTTGAAATTTCAAAATCTCCTTCAACTGCTAGTAGCTGATTTTTTTATTAAAAAAAACTATTATTAAAAATGAAAATAGGATTGAATATATTTTAAAGAAAAAAATCAATTTCCTCAGTTTGCAAGACAATTTAGAAATCAAACATTCTTAAAGTCATCAATTTTTCCATTTTATTTGGCCATCTTGACATCCTGTGCTATGCGAGTCTCATTTGAATCTTATCATGATTAGTAAGTCTATGTGTCCCCATTTATCTAAATCTTCTCCCCTTTACTCTCATCCAAGTAAATGGTGTGCACAATACGCAAACAGTAATTTTTCATTCTCTGGAGCTATCACATTTTAGAAAATCAGCTTTATATTTCCTCCTTGTGCAAAGTTCTCTCTCAAATTATCATTGCTGTTTTCAAAGAAATCAGTAGAAGTTATTTAAACAGTCATTTTAATTCTGATTAAATTTAATAACCCAGGCAGAAAGCTATGCTGATAAGTGGAATAGTGCAGTCCTATATATATATATATCTACATACAAGAAAGCTTTGTTGAATTTAAGGAGGCTTATTCCCAGGGAACCAAGTATAGAATTGCAGTATTATTGCAGATTAAATTATCTGGAACAGGTATAAGTAATGTTGATAGATATACTCCAGAGTAAGTAGGGTCTTTCTTCAGTAATATTGGTTAAAAATTTAACTCACAGAATTGTATTTAATGTTGAAACAGAATTAAGAAAAAGCAACTAAAAATAGCAATAAAAGAAAAAACATGCATTGCAACTAATCATTACAGAATTAAAAGAAGTTCATTGTTAGTTATCAATATATTGGTGAAACAATAAAGGAAGCCTAAGAAGCAGCCTACTATCTAATGAAACCTAATTTATAGAAAATATATAGCAAGTATGTAATTTCATACCCTGACACACACATAGTATATACACGTATGTACATTACCCATATTAGTCAAGAAAAATATGAACATCTGTGATAAGAATCAGATGAGAACTTGAAGTTTTTCCATGCATAAATTAAATGAAAACATGATGACATTTTTTTAACTGGCCATTTATTCATTAAAAAAAGCAAAAAGCCAATGTAGTACAGTTCTATATGGGTTTGTATAGAAATAGAGATGTAAACC